ATTACTGTTACTATTAGTAGACCTTTTTAGTAATAGAGTGGGGAAGAGATTTAGGAATAATCTATGAACAATAAATTTTTAAAATTTTATTTATATTGGTTTTTGAAAAATTTTGGCCATGCCCTGCAGCATGTGGGATCTTAGTTCCCTGACCAGGAATTGAACCTGTGCCCCCTGCAGTAGAAGCATGAGGCCTTAACCACTGGTCTGTCAGGGAAATTCCAACAATGAATTTTTTTTTAATTTTTATTTATTTACTTGGCTGCGCCGGGTCTTAGTTGTGGCAGGTGGGATCTAATTCCCAGACCAGGAATCAAACCTGGGAGTCTTAGCCACTGGACCTCCAGGGAAGTCCCCCAACAATGAAATACTAACAAAAAGTGTTCTTATACAAGGAAATGTACTTGACACTGGCAGACAAAATAGAGGCATTCACAGTCTTTTTATTCTTTCAAAATGTCCCTTTGGAACTTAATTTCATGTAACTCACTTGTTAACAACCATACAGTTTTGCAGATGTGAGATCACCAGAAGTCAGTCAATGCAGAGCCTTCCCCCACCAGAGCTCTAAAGCAGAACCCACCTGGGTGAGCTTCTAGTGCCCTGAGAGCCTGTGCTGAGCTTCAAAAAAAGCTGCACATCTTTCCAAAGAAAGGCAATGCCAAAGAATGTTCAAACTACCGCACAATTGCACTCATCTCACACAGCTAGCAACATAATGCTCAGTCCTCCAAGCCAGGCTTCAACAGTACGTGAACAGTGAACTTCCATATGTTCAAGCTGGATTTAAAAAAGGTAGAGGAACCAGAGATCAAATTGCCAACATCCGTTGGATCATTGAAAAAGCAAGAGAGTTCCAGAAAAACATCTGCTTTGTTGACTACGCCAAAGCCTTAGACTGTGTGAATCAAAACAAACTGTGGAAAATTCTTCAAGAGATGGGAATACCAGACCACTTTACCTGCCTCCTGAGAAACCTGTATGCAGGTCAAGAAGCAACAGTTAAAACTGGACATGGAACAACAGACTGGTTCCAAATTTGGAAAGGAGTACATCAAGGCTGTATATTGTCACCCTGCTTATTTAACTTATATGCAGAGTACATCATGTGAAATGCTGGGCTGGATGAAGCACAAGCTGGAATCAAGATTGCTGGGAAAAATATCAATAACCTCAGATATGCATATGACACCACCCTGATGGCAGAAAGTGAAGAGGAACTAAAGAGCCTCTTGATGAAAGAGAAGAGTGAAAAAGTTGGCTTAAAACTCAACATTCAGAAAACTAAAATCATGGCATCTGGTCCCATCACTTCATGGCAAATAGATGGGGAAACAGTGGAAACAGTGGCTGACTTTATTTTGGGGGGCTCCAAAATCGCTGCAGATGGTGACTGCAGCCATGAAATTAAAAGACACTTGCTCCTTGGAAGAAAAGTTATGACCAACCTAGGCAGCATATTAAAAAGCAGAGACATTACTTTGCCAACAAAGGTCCATCTAGTCAAAGCTATGGTTTTTCCAATAGTCATGTGTGGATGTGAGAGTTGGACTGTAAAGAAAGCTGAGCACCGAAGAATTGATGCTTTTGAACTGTGGTGTTGGAGAAGCCTCTTGAGAGTCCCTTGGACTGCAAGGAGATCCAACCAGGCAATCCTAAAGGAAGTTAGTCCTGAGTGTTCATTAGAAGGACTGATGCTAAAGCTGGAGCAACAATACTTTGGTCACCTGATGCGAAGAACTGACTCACTGGAAAAGACCCTGATGCTGGGAAAGATTGAAGGTGGGAGGAGAAGGGGATGACAGAGGATGAGATGGTTGGATGGCATCACCGACTCAATGGACATGAGTTTGAGTAAGCTCCTGGAGTTGGTGATGGACAGGGAAGCCTGATGTGCTGCAGCCCATGGGGTCACAAAGAGTTGGACACGACTGAGCGACTGAACTGAAGTGAAGTTTTCAGAGCAGACCTCTGTGTGCCCTCAGCCAGGAAAGTTGCTCCACTTCCAACCCTTCTGTCCCAACACCGTCATTTCAACAGAGCCCACACTGGCTAATTACAGGTTGCTGGTGTTCAGATGAACTTGTTCTCACATATATAAACCTGTTGGTAAGGAGTATTTAATTCCAGATAACCCGCAGAGTGCATCATCCTAGAAGCTGGTTAGGTTTTCAAGTGTTGGTTAAGACTGATAAACAGATAAATGAAGGAGGATTGGTGTGAACCCTTGACCTCATAGCCTGCTCAGCCTCTTTCTTCTCTGCCCACTTTCCCCTGATCCACTCAGTTTTCCTTCTTCTTCATGACTGCCTGCTCACTGTCTCTTCTGAAAATCGCTCAGTGGCTTGGTGTAGGTATATTGCTGATCGGCTGTGTGAAATCCTGCTTCACATAACCCTTTCTTTTCTTTTTAAAATTTATTTTTGGCCGCAATGGGTCTTTGTTGCTGTGTACAGGCTTCCTCTATTTGTGATGTGCGGGCTGCTCATTGTGGTGGAGCACAGCTCTGTGGCCTTAGTAGTTGTGGCGCACAGGTTTCGTTACCCTGAACCATGTGGAATCCTCCCATACCAGAGCTCAAACCCGTGTCCCCTGCATTGACAGGTAGATTCTTAACCACCAGACCACCAGGGAAGTCCAGCCCTTTCTTTAAAAGGAGAATATGTATGTTAAAAAGGTTAATCTTCTTTGATGTATTTGTTCCTTCTGGCTTATAATAGATTTCCTTCCTGTTTCCAAAAGGTAGGTTGTTTCGTTTCTGTCAGGCGAGTATATGCTCCTTGGTTCTTTGTCTCATCACAACAAAAATTTGGAGTGATGGACATTAAAGCTCCCTAGGTGGGTCACAGCTCTCGGGTCTTGGACAGACCGTGTTATAGCTCTCAGGTCTCGAACGGACTGTGTTATAGCTCTTAGATAAATCAGTGTTACAGTTCAGTGTTACAGCTCTATTTTATTTAGATAACAGCAGGAAAATCCATCTTCGAGGCGTGAGGGCACGTGGATCCAAAGACGCGAAGCCCCATCGCACGGGAGAGAGAGAGATAAGAGAGCTTTGGCTCCTCTTTTTATATGTTTCTCTGTCCCTGGGCCTGTCCTATGTAAATTGGGCCAGCCAGGAGTGTTGTTTTACCTGAGGTTCTCACTCTGGTCCTAGGACCTTCCTTTGTTCTATTTTTGCGGGCTTTTCCCTTCAGGTCTTTTAGCCACCGCCATTCTGGACTCCTTTTCCCTATTTTAACTACCTAACAGTTTCCACAATAAATATATATTGCTGTGAACTAAGATGTAATTCTCTGTTGGCTCACTCCCACCCCTGTTGGCTCACTCCCACCCTCACCTACCCTCTGTATAGTAGCAGTTCTCAAGATTTAGTGTGGGGAGACTCACCTGGCAAGCTTGGTGAAGTGTGGGTTTCTGAAAAGATTCTGATTCAGTGGGTCAGCCTTGGGTGTCAGGAATCAGAGATAAACATCCCCTGGCCACTCTCAAAGGTGTGTTTGGGGAACCCCACTTAGAGAAGTGTTGCTCTATTATACAGTCCAATGGCTAGATGCTGTGAGCTGCACATCTAATTTAAGATTTCTAGTTGTCACATTAAAAAAAGTAAAAAGAAACAGCTGAAATGTTAACATATATTTTATTTAACCTAGAAAATCTAAACTATCATTTTAACATATAATCAATATAAAAATTATTAGGAAGATAGTTTACATTTTTTTTTTGTACTAAGTCTTCAAAATCTGGTATATATGGGGTGAGAGTGGGAGAGAGGTTCAAGAGGGAGGGGGTATATACCTATGGCTGATTCATGTTGATGTATGGCAGGAATCAACACAATATTGTAAAGCAATTGTCCTCCAATTAAAAATAAATTAACTAGAAATTTAGAAAAATCTGGTATATATTTTACATTCAGCTCATCTCAAATTAAAATTTACCACATTTTAAGTGTTTAGTCATCATACATGGCTAGTGGCTGTTTGTTTAGAGCTGGTCTCAGCCTATGGATAGTGATGCTAAGGCTTGAAATGCCTGGGAACCCTCACCTGCACCCTGGGTGAGCTCCCCATAGACATTTCCCCTTTTAGAGCTAGTTTTGTGGCTGGACCAGCCCTTGTAGTTCTTATTAGGATTGCAAGACACCCTCAGCAACAACCCTTGGGGAGCTTTGAAAAAACGAGGTTTATGACTTACAGGTTCCACAGGGTACATGGCTTGCCCCAGCCACACAGTGAGGTTAGTATTGGTTTGATACATGTCTATGAGCCAATTTAATTTCAATTCAGAACTAATTTTTGATCCCGCAGATAACTGGATGTTTTAGAAAGAAATCGTATGCATCTCCCACATCCTAGGAGTCTGGTCCAATCAGCCCAACTAGGATAAAGTGAAATCCAATTCTCTCTCTATCACATGGCTCCTGACCATTTGGCAAGACAGTATTTATGGTCTTCAGCTCAAAAGGCTTTGCTCCCCAAACTAAGACTCGAAGTGTGAATGTCAGGAAGCAAAAAAGTTAACATCTGGTCATCATGGCAGGCTTTTCCCCCATCCTCCTGTGCCCACACTGTTTTAAACCACTCTGGAATGTTCCAAACATCCTCATCCCTCTCGATAATCCTCTCTTCTTCTTTCCTTCACTGCTCACTTCTCCAAGCGAGAGGCAAAGTTCAGTAGAAAACAGCTGGAGGGTTGGGGAGACAGAAAAGGGAAAGATGCACAAAAAGGGAAAAAAGGAACAAATCTTGTCCTGCCACCCCTGGGCCTCGAGTCCTAGGAAAAGTCAAGAGAAATAAGGGTGTCCTCTGTTGTCAGAATCAGTGTTCCTTCCTCTGGTGTGAACTGAGGCAAAGGGGCGCCCCCGCCCCGGACCCCTACCCCAAGCAGGAAGGAGTAGGACCAGAGGCAAGTCCGTTTGTTCAGCAGACTCGAGGCCAGCAGCTGCCCTTGGTTTCAGAGGTGGCCTCTGATGGGTGTGACCTGCTTGGGGAACCTACTCAGCAGGTGCACTGATTCTTCTCCCTCGGAGCTGGGGCCATGAGGACCGGAGTGGACTCCAGCGGGAGGCTGCCTGGAGCACCCTCCCCGTACAAGGGCAGGCTGTGGCGGGCCATCAGCTCCCTGGCCATCAGCACGAAGACCTCATCGATGTTCTTGGACTCCTTGGCAGATGTCTCCAGAACAGCCAGGAGGCCATATTTCTCAGCCAGGATGCAGGCATCCTCAAAGAGAACGTGGCGTTTTTCCCACAGGTCACACTTGTTCCCTGGGAGTGAGAGAGAAGCAGATATTCTGGGGAGTAACTTACTCTGGTTTTTTAAAAGGTGGACTTTAAAAAGAACATTTTAGTTTAGCAGATGCCAAAGATTCAGTTAGGAGACAGAACCTACACCTAACCTAGGAAAGGAAGAAAGTGAAAGTGAAGTTGCTCAGTCGTGTCTGACTCTTTGCGATCTCGTGGACCATAGCCTACCAGACTTTTCTGTCCATGTGATTTTCCAGGCAAGAGTACTGGAGTGGGTTGCCATTTCCTTCTCCAGGGGATCTTCCCCACCCAGGGGTTGAAGCCCGATCTCCTGCGTTTCAGGCAGGCGCTTTACCCTCTGAGCCACCAGGGCTCCTAAACCCGTACACTGAGGGAGTAAGAGAGTTAAGTTAGAGAAACAGAGCAGGGAGAAGGAGAAAAAGATGAGAAGCAGCGGCCTCCAGGGGGAGAGCAGGGCGTCTTATGAACGATGTTCAGGAATTCGCGATGAGGTAGAACGCCGAGGGTTTTAAACGGGTACTGAGGAGCTGGCCTTCTTCAGCTAGAGCTGAAGGAACACGACAGCTAACGCACAACCGTCTCTTTGACTGTGGTACAGTGGTGACGTGGCCTCAGGGGCTGGGGTAAACTTTTGAGAGAGAAAGACTCCTTTGTGTGAAGAACCGTGGAGATGGAATGGAAACTGTGGTGGAAGGGCAGGGACAGTTCGGTGAGGGAACGACACCGCTGACTATCCCAGATTAAGGCGAGGAGGCCACTGACAGAAAACAAGACCCCTCGTGTCAACCCTCGGGGTTGGATGCGTCACACAAGGGAACTCCGGGGACACTTCCAGATCATCTCTGGGGGCGTTTCTGGAACCAGATAAGAAGTGAGGGCAGAGACGGTCGTTACAATAGACACACGAGGGAGTAAATGACCAAGAAACCGTTGTGAGTTTCCCAGAAATCCCGCCACATCTTGCCATCTGTTCCCCTCCTCTGCCCCACCTGTTTCTGCAGAAAAGGGAGGAGGGGTGAGGGGCGGGGCCACAGGGGGCGGGACAGGAGGGCGGGGCCTAAGGGGGCGGGGCCAGCAAGGGAGGCGAGGGCGGTGCAGAAGGGGGCTGGCTGCCCGGGCAGGGTGGCTTTGCAGGGCAGCTTTCGAGGTTCTTCTGCTCCAAGATATCCCGGGAAACTGCGAATTTAAAGGATCCAGCCCACCTTCCTGGGGAAACCTCCCAGTGAGATTAGAACTGCGTGGTTCCCCTCGGTGAGATGCATGAGATTCGCACCTAAGCTTCCTTCCCTGGGAGCGGTCGTTGGTGGGGTTTCCTTCCCTGCCTGCTCAGCTCTGTCATGGGGGGGGGGGGTGGGGAGCGGGGACGTGGGGAGTGGGGCTCGGAGCCTCTCATTCAGTAGGGCAGGACAGTTTCCCTGGATTGAGGTCTCAGCACTATGCTAAGTGCTTTATGTGTTCTTTTGTTTAATCCTTTCAATTCAACAACACCTTTGAAGCAGGTGCTACTTTTATAGATGAGGAGACAAAATTCAGAGAAAGGGATGAACCCAAGTTCAGACAGGACAGAGAGGGAGATTTGAACACAAATCTGTTTGACTGCAGAGTTCAGGCACTAGAGTGGATGAGACACTGCTTCAACTAGAGCTTCAGAGGAGGGTGACTGTTAGCCTGACCACTGCTGGAAAGTGTTTGGAAAGGAACTGACCCCAAGGAGGCTCTGGTTCATACCCTGCCTCACCTGTCAGTAAGTACCTTGACCCAGTTACTTAGCACCATATTCAACCTCCAGAGGCCTCGATTTCCTCAGCTGGGAAACGAGGATGGTGGTCTCTGCTTCTCAGGATGGTTGTGAGGGTTAAATGAAGGGACTCAGGAGCGGATTCAGAGTGGAGTTTAGTAAATGTCACCTGTCACTATCTCTTCCTATCAACCCTCCTGGTTCTTACACCTCAGGAGCAACTATCATGAAAGGTGTCAGAAACAGCCAGGGTCCTCCCTGTTGCTTCGAAGAAGTGGTTATTGAGGAAGAAATCTAGGCCTTTTGAGGGGGGCAGGAATCAGTGTTTATTTGTATAAACACAGAGGTGCCTTTAGAAGTGTCCAATACATCAGAAGTCAAATCAAAAAAGTTTCTGGTCTCAAAGGGGACCTTTGGCTGAGAAGTAAAAAGAGAGAAGAGACACTCTTCCCCAAAGAGACAAGTGGTCCTCTGTGTGGAGGCCACATGGCCACACTAATCTCTCTTTCCTGGTTTCAGGCATGTGCAGAAAGACAGCCACTCTGAAAAGAGGATGGGACTAAATTTGAGGCACATTTTCTTTGGATGGCTGTGGATTGGGGGGCTTTTGATCTGATGTGTCAGGAAGGGATGAGCCCTGTCGAGGCCCTGGGAGTGACTGTGATTCTTAAGTTACAAGAAACACAATGAGTTAAGAAGCAGCGTTCTCCTCAAGGCTGTGCATACAACAGGGGCTGGTTGTTGTTCTGTCAGTCAGTCGTGTCAGACTCTCTGCGACCCATGGACCACAGCATGCCAGGCTCCCCTGTCCTTCACTATCTCCCAGAGTTTACTCAAACTCACATCCATTGAGTCGACGATGCCATCCAACCATCTCATCCTCTGTCATCCCCTTCTCCTCCTGCCCTCAATCTTTCCCAGCATCAGGATCTTTTCCAATGAGTTGGCTCTTCGCATCAAGTGGCCAAAGCTAGACAATGACTTAAAGCAGCAAAGACAGGGGAAGAGTGGTTCTAGAATAACAAGTCCTTTCTGGAGTCTGGATGATAATAATAAATGGACTGAGTGTGCCAATGATGTGTCCCATCAGGGGAGGTCCAGGGTGAGCACCTTACCCCAGGTCCACCTGCCCAGAGGCTGGCTAGAAACCTGGGCCTGGATTTGATGTGAAAAGAAGGAATGGGACAATGGGGTTTCCTTTCTGAGGAATGTGAGCTAGAGGGTATGAGAGAATGAGGGATTCTGTGGCAGGAGCAGGCTGGGGATGATGCCTGGAGGGATCCAAGAGGGAGGGCTCAGGGTGAGAGAGAGTGGCCAGCCCACACCACCCCACATTTAAGAAGCAGCTCTGAGAGAGGAGATAGATGCACAATAGTGGAGGAGGCTTCCCAGGTGGCTCAGTGGTAAAATCCCCCTGCCAAGACAAAAGACACGAGTTCGATCCCTGGGTCGGGAAGATCCCTTGGAGTAGGAAATGGCAACCCGCTCCAGTATTCTTGCCTGAAGAATTCCATGGACAGAGGAGCCTGGTGGCCTGCAGTCCGTGGGGTTGCAAAGAGTCAGACACAACTGAGCATACCCAGTGGAGGAGCTTTGTTAGCAGATCCCAGCCTGAGAGGAGGGCCCCCAGCTTCCTGCTTGTGGAGGGTGGCCTGGCTCCACTGTGGCTCCTCCTCTTGTGAGCTTGGTTGCTGACTTTTCCTAGGTCCCAGGGACTTGTACCCTCACCATAAGCACCCCCCCTCAATTATTTAAGGAACACTGATGAGCTTGTTCCCTCAAACAAACTTCTAGAAGCAAATCCCACCCTTTATGACAAACTTACTATGTGCCAGGCACTGTCAAGCAATGCGTACACTTTTTCTCACTAAATCTTTACAACCCCAGCAAATATTGATCAAATGTTATAGATGAGGAAACTAAGGTTCAGATGGTGACTTAGCACAGAGCTAGGATATGCTTGTCAATGGGTAGCTCTTTATCAGTCCTACAGCAGCTGTTTAGACCTGTGCTCTGCCAACTTTAATTTGCACAAGGATCTCTCTAGGATCGATTCGGATCCAGTAGGTCTAGGGTGAGGCCTGAGATGGGGCATTTCTAACAAACCCCAAAGTAATGAGGACGCTGTGGATTTTTAAGGGAGTGAAAATACACTCTGTGATATCTTCATGATGAATACTTGTCATCATGCACTTGTCCAAATCCATAGAAAGCACAACACCAAGAATGATTCATAATTTAAACTATGGACTTTAGATGATTATGATGTAGGTCTATGTAGGGTCATTCTTTGTAACAAATGTAGCACATTGTTAGGGGATATTGATATGGGAGGGGCTATGCATGTGTGGGGACTTCCCTGGTAGCTCAGCTGGTAAAGAGTCCTCCTGCAATGCAGGAGACCCTGGTTTAATTCCTGGGTTGGGAAGATCCCCTGGAGAAGGGATAGGCTAGCCATTCTAGTATTCATGGGGCTTCCCTGGTGGCTTTGATGGTAAAGAATCTGCCTGCATTTCAGGAGACCTGAGTTTGATCCCTGGGTTGAGAAGATCCCCTGGAGGAGGGCATGGCAACCCACTCCAGTATTCTTACCTGGAGAATCCCCATGGACAGAGGATCCTGGCGGACTACAGTCTGTGGAGTCACAAAGAGTCAAGAGTCGGACATGACTGAGCGACTAGCACAGCACATGCATGTGTGGGTACAGGGCATATATGGGAAATCTCTGTATCTTGCTCTCAGTTTTGCTAAGAACTTCAAACTGTTCTGAAAAAATAAGTCTTAAAACAACAAACAAAAACCTGGTGATGATGATGTTGCTGGTCTGCAGACCACACTTTGAGTAGCTAAAGCTAAACCAGGTTGCCAAAACTAACCAGCCACCTGGTAGACAGTAGTGTCCTCAGGAAGGGGGGTGCACTGCTTGCAAAGCTAATACTATAGGGAACTGACAGTATGTTGTGCTCAGTCGTGTTCGACTTGGTGACCCCATGGACTGCAGCCCACCAGGCTCCCCTGTCCATGGGATTTCCCAGGCAAGAATACTGGAGTGGGTTGCCATTTCCTACACCAGGGGGTCTTCTTGACTCAGGGGTCGAACCCACATGTCTTGCATCTCCTGCATTGGTAGGCAGATTCTTTACCACTGTGCCACCTGGGAAGTTACCCATTTCTGAATATACAATGGGACTGCACCTATTTCAAGCTGTGAGTTCACTTAGTGTAGTTGAGGTTGATGTTAATTTTGATGTTAACTTGTTGTTAAGATTTGTTTAAGATCTTAGCAGGTGTGAGAAGTCGTTCAAGAGTGTTGTCAGTCATAGTCATCTGAGTGGCTCCCTTGGGGATTAAGAGCCACCTGAAGCTGTGAAACTCACACTCCAGAGTATTTCCTGTGTAGTCTGCAAATATGTGTGTTGAATCAGCCAGGGTGCACCTTCACATATATGTCCCAGGTTTTTGCAATGAGAAACTCTAGGGTGGGGTCTTGGAGTCTGTATTCCTTTTTTTTTTTTTTTTTTTTAGGCCTTGCTGTGCAACATGTGGCATCTAGTTCCCCCACCAGGGATTCAATAAGTGTGCCCTGCATTGGGAGTGCAGTCTCAACCACTGGACCACCAAGGAATCTGTATTCTTAACAAATTCATGCCACCCCCAGTATCATGCTCAAGCGAACCTGATGGGAATTTCTGGCCCAGATGTTTTCTGAGGTCCTAGCCTCCACCTGTGCTTATATGACTTCCTGTTCCACTGTCATTGGAAACCCAGAAAAAGCTGAGCATGGGGCTTAAAGGAAAGTGAAACGCCTTGAAATCCACATACCAATCAGCATGATGACCAAGTTCGCTGCTCCGTATTTCTCTATCTCATGAATCCAGTGAGGAACAGACTCGAATGTGGACCGCCGGGTGAGGTCATAGGCGATGATGGCCGCATGGGCGCTGCGGTAGTAGCTCTGGGTGATGGTCCGGAAACGCTCCTGGCCGGCGGTGTCCCACACCTGCATCTGCAGAAGGTCGGGCAAGGGGGTCTGCGTGAGGAATTCCCATGTCTGATGCTCACCTAAGTTGTTTCCTGGGTCTCACTTCTAGAGATCCAGACTCACAAGGTCTGGGGTGGGGCCCAAGAGTCTGCTTTTTTCAGAGGCTCCCCAGAGTCATCTGGATGTGCTTTCAGGTTGGGAGTCATCTCCTAAGGGACTCTTCAGCCTGAGAGGTGGATCCAGGGTCCTAGGGTGTGGTGTTCTTTGCCTTTCCAGCACACTCATCTCCTTGTCTAGATTTTGAGGGTTATCTTTTGACCCTGGTAAAGGAGAGGGCATTGGCTGAACTGCTTTGATTCTGAAGGATCACTCAGTTGTCCATGTTTAGAAGTGTGCCCATAATTGTTTAGTCATGTACAACTCTGTGACCCCATGGACTGCAGCCTGACAGCTCCTCTGCCCATGGGATTTCCCAGGCAAGAATACTGGAGTGGGTTGCCATTTCCTCCTCTAGAGAATCTTCCTAACCCAAAGATCAAACCCAAGTTTCCTGCATCTCCTGCATTGGCAGGCAGACTCTTTACCACTGGGCCACCGGGGAAGCCACTGTCCTCATAATACTAACTTCCAAATTAACAACCCAGGCAGTGGCACCAATTTATATTCCCTCCAACAGTGTTTGAGAGTACTTGTTTTTTCTTTTAGCTTTAAAAAAAATTAACTTCATTTATTTATTTATTTTTGGCTGCGCAGGTTTTCTCTAGTTGTGGCGAGTAGGGGCTACTCTCTAGCTGCCGTGTGTGGGTTTCTCCTTGAGGTGGCTTCTCTTGTTCCGAAGCACGGGCTCTAGGGCACTTGGGCTTTGGTAGTTGTGGTTCCTGGGCTCTAAAGCATAGGCACACAGGCTTTGTTGCTCTGCGGCATATGGGATCCTCCGGGACCAGGGATCGAACCCATGTCTCCTGCATTGGCAGGCAGATTCTTTTCCACTGTGCCACCAGGGGAGCCCTGGTACCTGTTTTTTTCATACTCTCACATTATTTATAAAGTTTATTTTTTAAAGAAAGTTTTCAAACATACATAAAACTAGAGAGAATATAACAGTGAATCCTCACATAACCATATAATTATCAAGATTTTGCCACTCTTGCTTCATGGAGCCCTTTCTGTTGATTTATTTGAAGTATAATTTTAAAGAGAATCCCAGACTTTGTGTCATTTCCTGCCTACTTACATACTTCTTTAATAAATGGACATTGTCTTTCATAACCATAACACCATTATCACTGCTAATAAACATTTCAATAACTCCTTAGTATGATATATTCAGACCATATTACATTTTCCTAACTGGTTCCAAAATATCTTTCTACTATTGTGTTTAATAGGATCCCAAGCAAAATCCATTTATTATATCATTACCAACACTTTTTGATCCTTTTTAATCAAATGGGTAAAAGATATCTCACTGTTAATTTCATTGCTTTAATTAAAAGTGACAGTGAGGGGACTTCCCTGGTGGTCCAGTGGCTAAGGCTCCGTGCTCCCAATGCAGGGGGCCCAGGGATCGATCCCTGGTCAGAGAAGGAGATCCCACATGCTGCAACTAAGACCCAACACAGTCAAAGAAAAAAAAAAAACAAACAAAAAACAAAAATAAAAGTGACAGTGAAAGTGCTCGGGCCTGGTGCACTGGGAAGACCCAGAGGGATCGGGTAGAGAGGGAAGTGGGAGGGGGGATCGGGATGGGGAATACATGTAAATCCATGGCTTATTCATGTCAATGTATGACAAAAACCACTACAGTATTGTAAAGTAATTGGCCTCTAACTAATAAAAATAAATGGGAAAAAAAAAGTGACAGTGAGAACCTTTACTTCTTCACATAAATGTATGAGCCAGTTTGCATAAAATTATGAAGTCGTAGTTTTGTCAAATCTGTGAATTGCCTACGTTTTGTGTTTGGTTGTTGGTCTTTTCTTTGATATTTATCAGAGCTTTGCTGCGTGGCATGCAGGATCCTAGTTCCCTGACCACGGACTGAGCCCATGCCCCCTACAGTGGAAGCATGGAGTCCTAACCACTGGACTGCCAGGGAATTCCCTTATTAGAGCTCTTTTCATGTCAAAGAAATTAGCCTTCTATGAGTTCCATATTTGCAAATGTTTCTTTCCAGTTTGTCATTCAGCTTTTGACTTTGTTTATGGTATTTCTGAGTGTGTAGAAATTTGACCTTTATATGATTATACAGAAGAGTATAAATTTGACCTTTAGATATAAGAGTTAGATGGAGCAATATTTTCCTTTATGGCTTCTGGGTTCTTGTCATAATTTCAAGCCTGATTTTCCCCTTCCTCAGTGAGAAAAATAAATACTCTCAGGTGTTTTTTGCCTGGTATTTTTATGATTTCATATTTTATATTTACATCTTTTATGCCTCAGGCCTGTGTTTCCGGGTCAGGGTCTGTGGGTGAAATAGGCAGCTCCACCCCTGTGCCCCTCTGACCTTCACTTTCTTGCCGTCAATCTCCAGGGCACGCACAGTGAAGTCCACCCCGATCGTGTTCTGCTGTGCCTCCGTGTAGACCCCGGACTTGAAATGCTGCACGACACACGTCTTGCCCACATTGGAATCCCCGATGAGGATAATCTTGAACAAATAGTCAAAGTTCTCATCCGCTGCCCTGGCTGAGCTGGAGAATTGCATGGCTGTTGCTACCTAGGATCAAGGAAGAAAAGAAGGAATTCAGCCTATCTTTAGTGAACAGCTACTGGCGGCCAGGAACTATTCTTGGCACTCAGAATCCAGGACAGCAGGAGACAGAGGAAGGTCACTGCTTTCCTAGCACGGACATCCTCGTGGGAGGAGAAGGACATTAGTTACTGGTCAGGGAAGAGGGAGCTGCCCCCACAAACACCACCTGTCCTAGGTGAGTTGATACTACTTTAGGAGTCACCTTAGAATGAAGGGGGTCTACGGTCTGGGCCCAGTCTCAGATGGTAGTATTGACTGGGACCTCCCTGGTGTTCCAGTGGTTAAGACTCTGCACTTTCAGTGCTTCCACTGCAGGGGGCGAGGGTTTGATTCCTGATCTGGGAACTAAGATCCCACACACCTTGTGGCCTGGCTTGGCAGGTATGTTTAACCTGCCACTTATCAGGTGGATTGACTGGCTCCTAAAGGAAATCACCTCTGAATATTCATTGAAAAGACCGATGCTGAAGCTGAAGCTCCAGTACTTTGGCCACCTGATGCAAATGGGAAAAGACCCTGATGCTGGGAAAGATTGAAGGTGGTAGGAGAAGAGGGCAACAGAGGATGAGATGGCTGGATGGCATCACTGACTTAACAGACATGAGTTTGAGCAAACTCTGGGAGATAGTGAAGGACACTGCAGACCCATGCTACAGTCCATGGAGTCGCAAAGAGTTGGACACGACTGAGCAACTGAACATCAGTTGCGGAAGGCAGGCCTAGCTGTCAGCCCATCTTCATGTCACACGGGAGGAAGACAAACTACTGGAAGTCTGAATGTCCAGGCAACCAGCAACAAACACCAAGGACGCTTGACAGAGAAGTCAGTTTCAGAAAGGCTTTTCTTGTCTGGGAAATTATGATTTTGAGAATACTCAAAATGAAAACTGTGGGTAATTCCCAGGCGGTCCAGTGGTCAGGACTTTGCACTTTCACTGCCCAGGGCCTTGGGTTACATCCTTGATCTGGGAACCAGAATACCACAAGCTGTGCAGTGTGGCCAAACAAAACAAAAGAAACAAACAAACAAAAGAAACCCAGTGGTTCGAATGTTTGTGTTATATTCTGCCATAGGCTGGAAAAAAAAATTTCTTATGACAGTGTCTTCCCAACTGACTATCAGAATTACCCGGGAAGGTAATTAAACAATTAAATATATAGGGACCTCCCTGGCTCAGTGGTAAAGAATCTGCCTGCCAATGCAGGAGACACAGGTTTGATCCCTGGTCCAGGAGGATCCCACATACCTCGAGCAACTAAGCTCATATGCCATAACTACTGAAGCCTGTGTGCCTAGAGCCTGTACTCTGCAACAAGAGAAGCCACTGCAATGAAAAGCCCGAGCACTGCAACTAGAGAATACCCTCTGCTTATTGCAACTAAAGAAGGCCTGCATGCAGTAACGAAGACCCAGCACAACCAAAAATAAACAATAAAAGAATAAATAAATAAATATATATACATATATATTCCAGAGCCCATCTCAGATCTGCAAAATAGCTGCAAAAACATGCACACACTCTCTCAGGTGATTTTGATAAGCAGTCAGGTTTGGGAAGCATTGACCAGCACAGTCAACCACCTGAAACTTTATTCTTGCCCTCAGCATCTCAGCTTAAACATCCACCTACACTTCAACATCTCAGATCACAAGGAGCTCACTACCTCCAGACAAAAATCAATTTTGTGTGCACAGCTCTTACATAGGGTTGAAATCTATGTCCCTGAGGTTTTTCACCACGGACCCTCATGCTACGCCAGGATTCTTACTCCACATGACAGCCCAGCAGACATTTGAAGCAGCAATCAGATATCCCAGACCCTTTGACTGTTCTTCAGTTGTGTTGCGTATCCTCATCAAATGTCTCATAAAAATACACGAAAGTTTATCCCATTTGATAACTAAATTTGATGTGATGCAAATTGTCCCTGTCTATGACACCCTTCTTCATTTCTCCCAGTTTTATTTTCTGGTCTTCTCAAAAGTCTTAGAACATGACAAGTCTGTATCATCACACACATTAAAATCTATACTTAAAAACCCTAAGCTTTAAATGAATGAAGGAGGATCCCGCACCTCTCTTAGGTGTCTCTGAAGTTACTGTGGCTGCATGATCCAGCAAACAAGAGAAACAGCCAAACCACCTTTTCCCCCTCTGGCTTTTCAAATAAAGAAAGCCACTCTACTTCCGGTGCCTAACTACTGTCCTGTGAGCTGAAATCTTACTTCTCCCCCGACCCTGGCCGCCTCCCCCAGTAGGTCCTCAGGGTTTCCGCAAAAGCCCCCTTCACATGCCCTGCAAGAGGAAGTGAGCCATATCCACCCCCTCCAAAACCCTCCATCCTGCAACCTACACCTGTTGCTCACCTGTTGCTCACGTCTGCCAGCAGGTGTTTGCTCTTTCTCCTGGTTTTCCTTTTGGCCCTCCGTGCCCCTTCTTCCTCCTGCCTCGAGGTGTGGTGGGAACTGTAGTTCTGTCCCCAGGTGTCAGGTTTAATGGCTCGAGAAAGCGAAAGGAAAGCGTAAACCCTCCCTCCGTCTCCCCCTCCCCCGCCATCCGGAGGAGCTGCCACAGAGTACAAAGCGCGGGGTGAGGTCCTGCCACACCTGCCACGCTCAGTTAGCTTTCCCCTGAGCGTGGAGCATCCCATGTCATCCATCAGAGCCCAAACGAAAAGAGCTAGGCAGCTGTATCAGCCAACACCCACTGAGCCACCTGGTTTCCTTCTCTTGGGCGGCCCCAACCCCCATTTTTCCTGGTGTCGCCTGTGTGTCTGGGGTGGGGCTGGCTAGCTGAAAGACAAGTTAAAGGGGGCTACAGATCTGGATTTCGAGTCCTTCAATTGTTTTCTGGGCTTGAATAACCTTTGCTGAGGAGTCATTGAGTGAAAGAGAAGATTAAAAAACTAAATTGGGAAGATCCCTTGGAGAAGGAAATGGCAACCCACTCCAGTATTGCTTGGAAAATTCCTTTGACAGAGGAGCCAGGCAGGCTACAGTCCATAGGTCACAAGAGTCGGACACGACTTAGCGCTATCTTTTCTTTCTTTCAAAGCTGAAAATGTTTCCTTCCCCCCTCAAAATCTACCCCAGAACAAGGATTTATTTCTAAGAAGACCTGGCATCTGTCAGTCCCCGATGGTGGCCATGGAAGCATTGAGCTGAGCTGAATTTTCCTTTTTGACTTTACCCCCCACAGAGTCTGGAAGAGTCTCTGCTTCTCCTAGCCTGGGGACTAGCTCGCCTCCACTACATAGAATGTGCTGAGTAGGCAGTTAAGCTACAAGCACCACATGCAAAACAAAAACATCTGGATTGATAAAATATGAAACTGGTATAGTGTTTTCATACTGTGGGCTCAGACTCGTTATGAGTCATGAAGTCAATTTCAGTGGGTCGTAACCAGCATTTTTACAGAAGAGATGAGGAAAACAATTCAGAATGCATTCCTGTTTTCATGAACTGTTTGTGTCAGTTGTGAACAGGGAGGTGTGTGCTCAGGGTGATTTAAGATGTACTTCTTACTGTGTGTGGAGGCCTAGCACTGAAGTAGAGGACAGTTTATTCACTACAACAACATTTCTGTAGAGAAACTGAATGATGATTTATCTTATCTGAAATTCCATTTACACATCACTTGCAGGAACCTCTCTTTTTTTAAATTTAAACAAAAATTTTTGATTGGAGTATAATTGCTTTACAGTTTTGTTAGTTTCTGCTGTACAACAACAATGTGAATCAGTTACATGTACACTTACATCCCCAGGAGGGAGGTAGCACAGTGGTAAAGAATCCACCTGCCAAGGCAGGAGACACAACAGACTCAGATTTGAGGCACCCCTGCAGAAGGAAATGGCAACCCACTCCAGTATTCTTGCCTGAAAAAATCCCATGGACAGAGGAGCCTAGAGGGTTATGGTCCATGGGGTCACAAAGAGTCAGACACGACTGAGCGAGTGAGCACGCATATATCCCCAGGAACGTCTCAGAGAGGATAAACCCAATGTTGGCAGGGAGAGCAAGAAAACAAACAAACAAACAACAACAACAACAAAAACACTGCCAAATACTGCTGCTGCCGACCGTGTTTTGAAAGCCATGGTCATGTATATGAGGCTTGGAAATGAAATATAAGTCAAGATCCATGACAAATGTATGGGCAGGGGCAGGAAATAGAACCTGTGAAATGTGTCAATGAGGTTAGGTGTACAAATGTTTTCTTTTTCTGGTGATGATTACTGATAAGGGAAAATAACAACAACGAAACCCAGCTGACTCAGACTTCCCACTTGGGAGGGTGTCTAGAAGTAGAAATCAAATGGTAAAATGCCTGGATGGTTATGGATGTAAGGAGAAATGCTGCTTTTCCCTACCCCAACCCTGTTCACCAATGTTGACTATAAGTGCAAAGAGCTGAGCTTGGGCTATGGGGGAGATGCATTATTGACATGGGAGGTGGTGACACAGGTTATATACTTATTTTATACACACACATACACACATATGCATGCGTGGTAAGCCGCTTCAGTTGTGTCTAACTCTTTGTGATCCTTTGGACTGTAGTCCAATGGGATCCTCTGTCCTTGAGGATTCTCCAGGCCAGAGTACTGGAGTGGGGGACTTCCCTGGTGGTCCAGTGGTTAAGACTCTGTGCTCCCAATGCAGGGGGTTCAGGTTTGATCCCTGGTCAGGGAACTAGATCCCACATGCCACAACTAAGACCTGGTGCAGCCAAATAAATAAATAAATACATTAAAAGAAATACATTTTCAGATCTATTTAAAAAAAAAAGAATACTAGAGTGGGTTGCCATGCCCTCTTCCAGGGAACCTTCCCAACCTAGGGATCAAACTCACATCTCTTGTATCTCCTGCATTGGCAGCTGGGTTCTTTACCACTGGTGCCACCTGGTAAGCCCATATATGTGTATACACACATATATTTCATGATG